GGAGGGGGAGGGGGGCCCAGACCCCCCAGGGCCAAGCCAGCGCCTCACCTTGACTCCATCTGCTTTCTTGTTGAGTAAACTCTTGGCTGCTGCGTTGGAGAAAACAGACGTGATGAGTGAGGGGCCCGGGTCCCAGGACAGCCCACCCCCTCGGCGTGAGGCAGCCTCGGGGGCCTGCGAGGAGCCTGGGCTCCCCAAGATTGAGCAAGCAGGCGACCCAAGGTCCCAAGGCAGAGGTAGCTTCTGCGCCCAGCTGGGGACAGAGCGGGCCTGTGTCCTGTGCCGAGCAGGGCCGCCCTGGGGAAGGCCTGGCCAGCGCTGCCCGAGGACCCTCGTCCCCGGGACGGGGCCATCCCCCCCGGCCATCCGCCATGACCTTGGAGGACACCAAGGTTTCTCCTCCCACCTGTGACCAGCAGCTTCCGGGAGGGCAGCATGCAGGTTCCCCGAAAAGGAAGAGGCAGGGCGCTGCCCCTCACCCGAGATGGGAACACAGGGCAGGACAGCAGGTTGGAGTGGTAGGCACCCCCATGTTCTCAGGCAGGGGTGGGTGGGCTGCAGCTGGCCACCCACAAAGGGAGGGGCTTGTCCCAACCCCTCAGCCTCCTGGCCCCCCTCCCTTGGCAGACCGGACTCGGAGCTCTGCTCCCACGGCCAGGCCTCAGGCCACGCCTCTCAGCTCAGAGCCCCGGGGGGCAGCCTCACTCTCCCTCTTAAACCACCCCGCAGCCCGAGCCTTGGGGGCCACCGCTCGGCCTTGCTCTGGCAGCGCTGACTGGGCCAACTCGGGCCTCTGTGCCCACCCACCAAGGACCTTAAGCTCTGAGTGACATCAACAGGATGACACACCTGGGGGAGGGTCCAAAGAGCCACCTGCATCCCAGGTTCCCACCACCCCTCAGAAGCCCAGGCCCAGCAGACGACCCGTCTCCCCACAGCCTTCCCCGCCCCCCCGGGGAGGAGGTCGGGAGCGGCCCGGCTCTGCCTCTGCCTCTCTGTGCGCCAGCTTCAGGGGCCCTGACCTGCCACACCCCACAGGCCCTTAGCCCCCCAGCATCTGCACCCTCTGCAGAGGTTAGTTTTAATTACAGAACTCGAAAAAAAAAAAAGAAAAAAAAGGGAAGTCAGCTTACCTTATGGGAAAGGAAAGGTGAGAAGGGGAGGAGAGAGAGTGAGGAAGAAAGAAGAGAGAGAAAACAAGGTTTGTGGACGTTCAGGCAGGGAGTGCAAGTCTGCAGCCCGGGGCTCAGCGGCTCCTGCCTCGCCCGCCCCGCCCACGCTCACAACAAGCGGTGCCCCAGGACAGCCGGTGCGGTTAGAGAAGCAGCCCTGGGGTCGGATGCCGGAGGGTGGGGTCCCTCGCCCTGGAAGGAAGGTGGCACAGTCCCCACCGCCGGCTCCAAAAGCTCTGGCTGGCCAGCCCTGAAGGGGAGGCCGCCTGCCCAGAGGGAGGAGGGTGGCCCCCAGCAGGCCTGTGCGGGGGACCTTTCCTGCTGGGAACATCCCTGGAGGCGGTTGACTCCGCAGGCACATCAGAAAGACCCAGAGAGATGCAGCGATTCTCAAAGTGCGGTCCCCCTGGACCCCACCCCCGCCCCCGCCAGGAACGTCAGCATCTTATCTCCTGGGCTGCCCCAGACCCCCTGAGGCAGAAACTCCGGGGTGGGCTCCGCATCAGTTTAACTGTTCATCTGCTCTGGGGGATCCTGATGCTGCTCCAGTTCGAGAACCACTGGTCAAGGTCCCCAGTGCAGTGACCAGGCCGCTGGGCCACCCCCTACTGATTGCCTTTCCCTGTCCAGGTGGCCATCGCCGCCCTCCGGGCTTTGCTTTGGCACACAGGTGGCTGCCCCCAGCCAGAGGGCCCCGCGGGTTATCGGAGACCTGCTACACTGGGCGCAGCCTCAGTTCCCAGCCTTCCTCCCCAACGGACCCATCAATTCCCTCACGTTTCCCTCCCAGGATCCACGGGCCGAAGTTTAACGAGAAGCCTGACCCCTGGCCCAACCCTGTCGCCCGGTGGGCTTCATCCCCGTGAGAAGCATCACAGTACCCCAGAGAGTGAAGGGACCACAGGTCATCCCTTTCCTCGTGCCCCAGTTCATCCTCCCAAGGGCGAGGCCTCACCTGGTGAGGCCGGACTCAGGATCACACCCTGCTGCCCTGGCAGCCCTGCTCCACGGGCATCCAGGACCAGAAATGCCGCCTGCTCAGGGCCACAACCCACTTCCCACTGCGGGGACTGTGAAAACCTCCCAGGTGGCAGCTACGTCCACATCCCTGTAACTCACCACGGAGGAAAAATCCAGCCCTGCAGACATGGGAACTTCCGGGCCTCCAGGGCCTGCAGCCTCACTCCTGAACAGCATGGCCCTAGCCTCCCTACTGACCCCGAAGTGGGGGTCGTGCTGTGGTCACAGAGCCCAGAGACCCCGTCTATGCTGGCCGACCAGCTGGCCGGACACAGCTGGAGGAAAGTGGGGTCCAGCCCGTCTTGAAGGCACTCGTCGTGAGAGCTGAGCAGACGAGCAAGCTGACCCCCGCCCCCAACTTAAGGTGGGCAGTCTGGGGAGAGTCACCTCCCAGTGCCACACAGCCTTGGCCAGCAACATTCCCGGCCGGCTGAGTTAGAGCCAGTGCACGCCAGTGCTGGTCTGAGAAGTCCGGCCAGGGCCAGCCCAGTGCCCTGGTGGGGGCAGAGTCAGCTCTGCCTGGTCTTCCCCTTGGGCAGGAAAGGGGGGCCCCTGGGACAGTCCTGGGTCTTCAGAGGGTTCCCTTCAGTCCCGGATTCTATCAAAACCCACATTCCAGACCGTGCTACACGGGACGGTACCAGTTCCATTCCCTAACAAGCCACCCCTCTGGGGACTCAGTCGGCCACCACGGCCCAGGCTCCAGGATGCCCTGCAGCAGACACCTGTCCTTGTAATCGATTCCCGAACACTCCTCCTTGGGAACCCCTGTAACCTACACCTGCGTGTCTGGGTGCAGGGTGTCTGAACACACAGCTGCCGTCTTCCTGAGCGCAGCTCCTGGCCGCCGCGTTTCCTGGAAATTCACATCTCTGTCTGAGAATAATTCCAGAATCCTGTTGACTCCCGTCTACACTAGCGGTCAAAGGCATAGGGAGTTTCCTTTGTGTTTCCTCAAGTCGAATTCAAGTCGAATTCATTACTACACAGCAGGAGCCAGGGTGGACCAACCAGGCGCCCTAGACCCCCGGAGACAAGCAGAGACCCTCTGCCCCACCCCGGCCCGGGTCCTTAGGGCCAGGCCATCACTGCCACCCCAGCAGTTCGCCTGAGTATCCTCTTGGTGAAGGCCAAGTGGGACTGACCAGGCCGCCTTGATGAACTGCAAGAGATCTACAAAGACACCTGGTCTTCCGCTGGCCGAGAGCACTATGTCACCCCAGAGGCCGTCATCCACAGAGAAGCGATGGCCTTGGGACTGAGCCCCCTGCCTGCCGTGTCTGCTGGGTCCAACGCATTGGCTGAGGTGGGCTGACCTAGCAGGGATGGGGGCTCAGCCCACGGGGCCCAGCCTTTACCTCGTCCCCTAGCTCGTCACTCGGGGACAGCCATGCTGGGCTCCGTCCACATGCACGGACCACCCCCAGGACAGAGCAGCCCTGGGCGCCGGGGGCAGAGCCGCACATGCTCGCGGCCTCATGCACAGACGCTCCACACCCCCTTGCAGGCAGCGGGCATTGCTGGTGGGAGCCCCGGGCAGAGAGCGGCTCAGAGGCGCCTGCCTCGCTCACCGCCGCCCCGCCCCCGGCTTCACCAGGAGCCCCTAGTCTCACTGTCCCGTGTCCCACTGCCCCTCCCTCCCTCTCAGGTACTCCGGAAAGGCCCAGAAAATGAAGCTGACTCAGGACGACCCCCAGGGGCCTGCCTGCTGGACCTGTCACCGGGCTCACAGGAGGAGCACAGGCCCACCTGCTGAGGACAGCCCTGCCCTGAAAGCCCCAGGAGGCAGTGGCCGGGGTCCTCTGGGTGGGCAGGCGGGCCTGCACACCCTGTGGGGTCATGGGGTAAGAGCTGGGCTGGACGTGCCGTAAAGAAAGGGCCCGGGGGCTTCCCTGGTGGCGCAGTGGTTGACAGTCCGCCTGCCGATGCAGGGGACACGGGTTCATGCCCCGGTCCGGGAAGATCCCACATGCCGCGGAGCGGCTGGGCCCGTGAGCCACGGCCGCTGAGCCTGTGCGTCCGGAGGCTGTGCTCCGCAA